TGCTGGGAGACCTTGGTCAGTCATACTCTGTCAGTTGACCCTACCTCGTGGGCACTCAATGAAATTAATGAGCAGTGGGCTTAGAACAGATAACGGGAAGTCCTTCTTCACCCAAAGAGGAATGAACACGTGGAATTCATTGCCACAAGAAGTGGTGGTGGCTACAAGCGTAGACCGCTTCAAGAGGGGATTGGATAAACATACGGAGCAGAGGTCCATTAGTGGCAATTAGCCACAATGGATAGATGGAACACTAGGTCCAGGGCAGTGATGCTCGGTATTCTTGGTGCTTGGGGGGCAACAGTGGGAGGGCTTCTGGAGTTCTGGCCCTGCTGGTGGACCTCCTGATGGCCCTTGGGTTTTGGCCACTGTGTAACATAGAATGTTGAACTGGATGGGCCACTGGCCTGATCCAACATGGCTTCTCTTATGTTCTGATGTACCTCACAGGGTTGTTGTGAGGATAAAATGGAGGAGGGGGAAACCATGTAAGACACTTCGAGTCCCCATTGGGAAGAAAGAGGTGTGTGTTTACAAATGAATAAAAGAAACACCCGCAAAGTAAAGCTGGTTGCTCAGTAAGGCAATATAGGTATGAACGCTAAAAGTGAAACAATAAAACTATAAACTCATTGAGCATTAACTGGTGTGAGATTCTTGTGTTTGATGTTGGGGTATGGGTACATCACATGGAGTCCCTTGGCAAGTGGGTCCCAGAAGACAGTGTAAGTTTACAAGAGGGTCCCACTTCCAAAGTGTGAGATGCCAAGAAGAAGAAGAGGAGGAGGAGGAGGAGTTGGATTTATACCCTGTCCTTCACTCGGAGTCTCAGAGTGGCTTACAACCCCTTCCTCTCTCTACAACAGACAGCCTGTGAAGTAGGTGGGGCTGAGAGAGCTCTGAGAGAACTGCTCTTGAGAGAACAGCTCTGAGAGAACTTGTGACCGACCCAAGGTCACCCAGCTGGCTGCATGTGGAGGCATGGGGAATCAAACCCAGTTCTCCAGATTAGAGTCCTCCACTCTTAACCACTACATCACAATGGCTGTTCCCAGGAACAAGTAGGGTTGCCAACATCCTGGAGGGGAAAGAATGTCCTGTCCCTTCAATAGCAGTTTAGTGGGATGATGTTTACCAGTGGGTGTTATTGGCCTTCATACCATGAAATGCATTGGCTGTCCTTTTCCACGCATTGCACCTCTTCCAAATGGATAGAACATTATTCTCCAGGTCTGTTGGTAGGAATCAGTGAGGCTGCTGTGGTTCCTACCCTGCCAGCTTCATTTAACATGTATTCATCTGTTTTTATCTTACCCCTCTTATCTTTTCCATTCTACCATTCCAGATGATTTGCCTCGGTCTTCAGGGAATCATTCTGATCTGCAGGAATGGGTGTATAAAAGAGATCACTTAACTGACAATTCGTTAATCATCCAGTCGAAGTTTGCTCCCCTGTATAAAATGAGGTCTTTCACCCCTCCCCTTTACCCTTACAACAGGTTTGCAAGGTAGGACTGGCTGAGAGAGAGTGACTGACTGCCACAAGGTGAACATCAGCACTAAGTGGTTAGGCAATCACCACTATAACACACTGCCTCCCAAACCAGTCCCACTTTGGGCTTTAGGTTCCAAAACAGTTTTGTTGAAATTAAGTGGGTGTGGACTTGGACAGTCCCTTGGATGGAAAACCTGGAACGGTGTGACACGTAAACATATGGAGCAAAGGTCCATCAGTGGCTATTAGCCCCAAGTTATAGATGGGACACTCTGTCTGGGGCAGTGATGCTCTGTATTCTTGGTGCTTGGGGGGCCACAGTGGGAGGACTTCTGGAGTTCTGGCCCCCTGGTGGACCTCCTGATGGCACCTGTTTTTGGCCACTGTGTGACATAGAGTGTTGGAGTGAATGGGCCATTGGCCAGATCCAACATGGCTTCTTTTGTGTTCTTATATGGAGCAGAGGTCCATCAGTGGCTATTAGCCCCAAGTTATAGACGGAACACTCTGTCTGGGGCAGTGATGCTCTGTATTCTTGGTGCTTGGGGGGCCACAGTGGGAGGACGTCTGGTGTTCTAGCCCCCTTGGTGGACCTGCTGATGGCACCAAAGAAGTGGTGGTGGCTACAAGCGTAGACTGCTTCAAGGGGGGATTGGATAAACATACGGAGCAGAGGTCCATTAGTGGCTATTAGCCACAAGGTATAGATGGAATACTGTGTCGGGGCAGTGATGCTCTGTATGCATGGTGCTTGGGAGGGCACAGTGGGAGGACTTCTGGAGTTCTGGCCCCCTTGGTGGACCTGCTGATGGCACCTGGGTTTTGGGCACTGTGTGACACAGAATATTGGACTGCATGGGCCATTGGCCTGATCCAACATGGCTTCTTTTATGTTCTTATGTACCTTACAGGGTTGTTGTGAGGAAAAAATGGAGGAGAGGGAAACTATGTAAACCACTTCGGGTCCCCATTGGGGAGAAAGGGGGGGGGGTTGGCCACTGTGTGACGCAGTGTTGAGCTGGATGGGTTATTGACCTGATCCAACATGGCTTCTTTTATGTTCTTATATTTAGCGGGACCCCCACTGAAGTGGCAGTCCTGTATTTGAGCTGCAACCTGGTGGCCTTTGGCTCATGGGACTGACTGGTTTTTTGATATGAAAACATTCCCTGCAAATAGAAAACTAGCACATCAGGAACACAGGTCTAATTTTAAGTCCAGTGGCGATGTTAAGACCAACAAAGCTTAATTCAAGGTACAAGCTTTCATGTGCAAGCACACTCCTTCAGATACCAAGTGTGCTTGCACCAGAAAGTTTATATTCCTTGAATTAAACTTTGTTGGTCTTAAAGGTGCCAGTGGACTTAAACTTTGTTCAGCTGCTTCTGACCAACATGGCTACACGCCTGAATCTATCTTCACAGTTCTAATTTAGTCACTCTGACATGCTAGATTTCTGCATGGAGGGATTTTTTAAAAAATGGAGCAGTGTCCACTATCCAAGCTCCTGCCCTCCCATTGAAGTGGTACAGTTTCATGCCTGACCCAAGTGACCCAGGGTAGCCCAATCTTGTCAGCTTTGGGAAGCTAAGCAGGGTCGCCTCTGGTTAATACTTGGATGAGAGACCACCAAGAAAGTCCAGGGTGGAGCCGTGGAGTCCTGTGAGCAGAAATGCTACTTTGTGAGCTACTGGCATTAAAGTTGCGAGCAGGTAGTTTGGCTGCTGCATAAAATTAGTTTGCTCTGGAGCCATCTTTCCTGAGCTAAGACAAAAATGTGTGAGCTGGAGGCTAAAAAACTGTGAGCTGGTTTACACTAACTCAGCTTAGAGAGAACACTGCTCACAGGTCGAGGCAACCGCAAACTTCTGTTGCTTTCTTGCCTTGAAAACCCTCTGGGGTCACCGTAAGTCGGCTGTGACCGAGTGGATTTTTCCACCAATGGTAAACTCTAAAGAATTCTGATTCAGGCGAGTAGCGGTGTTGGTCTGAAGCAACAGAACAAAGTTTGGGTCCAATGGCACCTAGGGATGCCAGCCTCCAGGTAAGACTTGGAGATACCCCGGAATTACAGCTCATCTACAGACTACAGAGATCAGCTCACCTGCAGAAAATGGATGCTTTGGAGGGTGGACTCTGTGGTGTTACACCTCACTGAGGTCCCTGTCCTCCCCAGACTCCATCCCCAAATCTCCAGGAGTTTCCCAAACTGGATCTGGCAACCCAACCCCCACCCCACCCCACTAGGGGTGACGTGGCCACTGGCACCTCTAAGACCAACAAAATTTAATTCTGGGTATAAGCTTTTGTGCACATGCACACCTCTTCAGATATTGGTCTTAAGGCTGCCACTGGACTTAAACTTTGTTCTAAAGAAATCTGGCCGACTTTGAGGACTTAACAAATATGCAGTGTATACTTTCGTGGGGTATTTGATAGTTGCGAGGATGGTTTCCAAAGATCCGCTGGAATCTTTCTCCCTCTGTGGCTTGTCTGGGGAACAAAACTTAATTTTTAAAAAAAAAAAATACAAATTTGAGGCGAGCGGTGTTGTGGTGGCGATTAGTTTTTGGGGAAACTTCCTGTCTTAATTGGATTAGAAGAGAGGCTTGGTTGGGGGGGGGGGGGCCCCAGCGAAGGAGGCGTGTCTTGCAAACTCTTCCACCCAATGGCAGAGAAGCCGACCCGAGAGCTCGGACGCAGTTCTTTTAATAGGCGGCAGGTCGAGAGAGCCGTTTTCGGAGGTGGCGGCGGCGGGGATGGGCCGGGAGGCGAGCGAAGGAAGAAGATGGTGGTGAAATGAGAGAAAAAACCCGCTCCGATCCTTCGGACCACGCAGGGACGAAACCCAGCGCGGGGAGCAATTCTCTGTCCTCCCCGCAAACCCGGGCCCTGAGACCTCAACCCCAGACCCAAACTTCTGTCCCCGTTTCCCGTGTCGGGATGAGGGCGAAACGGGAGGCTTTGAAAGACGAGTGAAACTGACTAAGGCTGCCAGGCGGCGCGGCTCAGCCGAGGGAGGAAATTGAACAGAGTTGGGATTGAAACTGACCCGGCTGGTCCGGGGAGGTGCGCCCTGCGGGGGTCTCTCCCTCCCCAGCCCCGATGAGCCTCTGAGGGCGGCCTCTGCGGACTTTGCGGCCCCCCCCGCCCCCCTCCTCGGCTGCCAACTCCCCCCCCCCGCCCCCTCCCCT